GAACATTAAAAATTTATAACGTCACTCATGTAGTTAAAATTCGAAGTATGTTTATTTGACGATACTAGAGATTCATAAAATTTATTAAACAAACTTCTAAGCAGTGCTGATAAAATTTCACTTGCACTTTTATCGCGCTCAGATTACGTAAACTATGAAATTATTTTACTCTACTGCGCCATTTGGAAGAAATAATGTATTTACAAATTTGTTTTCATTACATTTTAGTAGAAGAAAAAGAAAGAGAGAGACAGAGAGAGAGAGAGAGAGAGAGAGAGAGTGGCGAGGGAGAGGAGAGAGCGCGCGTAATCAAACATCTAATTATTTCATGTGATTTTTTAAATATTGAAGATATATACTGATTCTTAAAGTGTAATAATACTAGCGGTTATATTTCTAAATCACACCTGTCATCATTCGACAAGTCGTTATACTTAAATAGAAAATGCAATTAGGAAAATTATTCTTAAATCATTTATTAATTTTTTTTTCTTTATAATTGTAAGATCTTATGTAATTTCAGGACAAATAAGGTCATTTTATGTGGATCGATTCTAGCATTTTATTTTTTCTAATTACCGATTCTCAGAAGTCTCGATTAATTCGGTTCGAATTATCGGCGCGCATTCAAAAGATTATACCTGCGTGGCTGGCAGTATCGATGGTACGACACTTCAGGATTCACCGATCAATTTCGTCGGGATGGGCAGAAGTTGGGAGCGCTGCCTACGATTATGCGTAGCGCTAGTCCTTACATAACGCTTTTTATTATGTAATTGACAGAAACGCCGACCCTGCGCGAGCGCACGCACGCGCACGCCGCGCCGGCGAAAGTCCCGTATCGAGAAAAGTCTCCGAAGTGATTGAAATTTCGGTGAATTTGAATAAGCACATTTGCGACGTGACATTAATTGAATGGCTTTCCGACGTACAAAAAGAAACCGAAGATCAATTTCAACTATTTGACCTAAAGACATTTTGTGAGACTTCAATTATTAGAAATATCATTGGAAACATTTACGTGAAAAGAATTAAGAGAGTTATTCAATTTTCAGAGAAGAACTCGCTAGCTCAATCATTTTCTTTTATATGCAAATATAATTACAATATATACGTTCACAATTTATAAATTCGTAATCTATTGATGCGATGAAGTTTTACGACATCCAAGTTACGTGCGGCTAAAAATGTGCGAAGGATCTAATCTTCTCAAATGCAAATTTATAATATAAATATAGAACAAATCAATGTTTTTCTGTGACGCAAATAATTAGCATTTGCCTGACGCAATACTTCACATTTTTCAATTTAGTGATATAATACTTGCGTACATTATATAATTACGTATTATATAATCTACGTGTGTATTCCTTCGAGAAGTACATAATCAAACTTCTATTAATTTTCTGCTATTTATATAGACCGTGTAACATTAGAAATCTCATACGAACTAATATTATCCGCTGATCGTTACTGATAAAATCACAACGTTTATTTTTGTTAAAAATTCTTTCTTTAAAAGTTCTGGTTGAATTGAGTTCTTGTTTTTAGAATTACGAGCAAAATATAATAGATATAATATTGACACGAATTACATCAGATATATTATGTAATGTAGAGTTAAGTGCCGTCAAATTGACGCACTGACAAGATTGCTCTTATTGTATCAGATTGGTTTTTTTTTGGTGTATAATTTCCCGAAGTTGGTCTCAAGAGCTCAAAGAGAGCAAATCTCGCGTATCGTACGCGATATATCTACCTACGCGATGCGTTCCTCGTTAGATAATGTAACGATGGCCTAGGCGACTATACGGTCGGGGCTCCGCGCGCGCGGTGTCAACGTAACCATTTATATAAATCTATCGTTACGCAATTGGTCGGCCGATCTCCACCGTTACGACGCGCGTCCCGATCACGGTACGGATACTAATGATTTTGTCATAGTACTGGAATATCATGTAAGCTATTTCATCATCGTCATTTAAGCTGTTTAAACAATCAGTACTTCGCCTTCAATATTTGTATTCGATAACTTCGACACTTTGCATGACAGTGATATTTTCTTCAGCTTCCTCTGCTTCTCGCCAATATTGCGGGCAATATTGCTCGCCAATCAATTACATGCATTTTGCAATAAAGCATAAGCATTTTTTGTCGAGCGAAATACAATAATTGTTAAAAATTAATTTTTATCTTAATGCAGCAATTATTTCAACCATCTATTCTAAAATTACGAAATCTTTAGTTACTAATTATTTTGATTTTTAATTTAAAAACTATTATTGAATTTTTTTAATAAGAAATAATATCAAAAAGTAATATATCTAATTTTTTTCTAATATCAAGTGTAACATTATATATAGTTGTTTTATATAGAATTTATCTGTTGTTATTGACTTTGATATTTCGTCTCATAATCAGTGTAACAACTCCAGTTATTTTCTACAAATGCGTGAATATTTATGCACGTTCTAATTCAGACTGTGAAGAACGAGACAGTTTGAGAAACGTGGGTGGCAGCATATTATGCCCATATCGGTACTATGTAGTCATGTACATATGTTAGCAGATTGACTTTATCATATGTGTGGGTTTGCCGCCTTCGCAATACGTCGCTCTCGCCACATAATGTGCTTCGTTTTGTATCGGTGAATGTTTTATTGGAAATATACTTTAAAAGTTTTCGATATAGTTATAGACAGTATATAAATATATAATATAATAATATATAAATTATTAAAATTATTTATAGATCATATATTATCATAGAATGCTTCAGAACTACATTTGTTTCATGATATTCATTTAGTCATTTTGAAATTAAATTAACCGAAAATATTCGGATATTGATAGTTATAAATTAAAAGCAATTAAGATAAATAAAAAAATAAACGGCAGCATTCATTAGCATTCATTAAAGTATTTTCTTTGGGTTGTTCATTTGTATTTATGACGTTCATTTGCATTCAACTTTCAATTCAATTCTATTTGAATATATTACTTATTGTAAGCTTATTTTTTTACATCTAAAAGTAAAAAAATATTTTATTTACATTGAAAATTACGGTTGTGCTATATAATATCTTCTTAAAAACACTTTTCTAGATTTTTTTCATATTTTATTTAAACTGATACAAATACGTAAACAATTAATAATTTTTTATTTCTAATTTTAATAATTTTTATAATTTTTAACAATATTTTAATAATTTTATCTTATTTAATTGATATATTATTAATCTTAAAGATGAAATAATATGTGACATGTTAAAAATACCAGGCAACAAAATTTTTTGATTTTCATTTTTTTCTCAAACATATGCGTCATTTTTACATTTAGGTTTTCACATTATGTTATTATGCGTTTAAACAATAATATAAATAATAAATCACTTTGCACAGTCTAATTCATATAATCAAAGTAATTACAATATACATATATGAAGATTAAATACATATATATCTTAAATATATAATATGCATATAAATAAATAATTTCATTATTATACAATGTATTTAAAATGAATCAATCCTGTATTTAGTTTTAGTGCACGTATACAAGTATACACAGTTGAAAAATTTGTGTTAAATTTAACACGTCTCACATGTCCTAAACGGTCCACTCAAATTTTTGTGTTAATTTAATGCAAGATGAATATGTTAGAAAGTAACACAACAATATGTAAAAATTAATACAGAAAATGTAACACTTTAATACAATTTAGAAACAAATTCTGGAAACATTATTCTTCAGTAAAATTAACACTTATAACATTAACAAGTATATTTATCTTTTATTCATTTATCTTAGAATTTACGGTTTAAAACTACTTTATTTTTATGTTATTTATTCACTTACTTATAAATTGTGTTACTTTGACACTGAAAAATATTGAACATCAATTTAATACAAAATATTTAAATAACATTATCACATCCCTTTGGAAAATTATTGTTTGATACAAGAAAAATGATAATAATAAAAAGAAAACAAAAAATAATTAAAAGAATAATTTTTACATTGTTTTTTTTTTTAAATCAAGTTTTAAGAAATGAGAAAAAAATTGTTCATATATAATTATACATACATGTATATTTTTAATCATTTATATATGATTATATATGAGCAATTTTTCTCATTTCTTCAAACTTGATTTTTTATAAAAAAAACAATGTAAAAATTGAGAAAAATTGCTCATATATAATCATGTATAAATGGTTAAAAATATACATATATGTATAATTATATATGAACAATTTTCTCTCATTTCTTAAAACTTGATTTTTTGTAAAAAAACAATGCAAAAATTATTCCTTTAATTATTTTTTATGTTTCCTTCTTATTATTATAATTTTTTTGTATTAAAGAATAATTTTACAAAGTAAAGAAACATATGGACATATTTTGCATATAATTATATATTTTTATATGTGTTTATATATATTTATATATGTTCTTATATGAAAAATTTTTTACCAGGATTATGTTATGATTTAACAAGCAAATATGTTAAAAATTCGACACAAAATTTTGTGGTGTCGAACAAGAACGTGAGTGAACCATTTCCAACATAAATGCAAAACGTTTTTTACTGTGTCGGTTACATTCGGTCGGCTCGAAATCGTAAAAAAAGTGGATGACGAGAGAACGTCTGCAGACCGCAAGACTATTTCCCGAATGCAACGGAAAGGAGGAAACGACGGTGTAAGTATCCGTCGCGACACGGCACACTCCGGAGTATGAAAATAAATCGGAATCCCCGATGGCGCGAAACCGACTCCGACGCGCTGCGTCGCGACGCGACGCGGCACCGGCGTCGGGCTCATGGCGGATCGCCAGGCGAGCGCAAAGTTTACATAACAGAGGAGTTTGACAGTACGCCGGGCACGTGACCGCGGCCTCTATCTTATCTCAGCAAATACGTCTGCCTGACCGGCCGACATGCCGCGGCGTGTGCACGTCGCGCTCTTATTATTCCCTTTTACGTAACCGACGACGGTCGCGCATATCGACCGGCCATCCTAGGCTCCTCTGGGCGTTTCCCGCCAACTTGGACCGCGGTTTCCGACGATATCCTCAAGCTTCCGGCGGTGGACAAGATAAAATAATCAACTCTAGTAAATCAACCTTTGGAACACGCTTTTCCCTCTCCTTATCTTCTAAATATGCCTAAGGTGTGTAAACAATGTAGCATATCTTTTGTACTTTTAAATGGAATGCACCCGATAATCTCGTAGGATCGATGAGATTGTCAAACATAAAATTTTAACTGCAAGTTATCAAGTCTGCTAAGTTTAATCTATCAAGATCTTAATTTGTTTAAATTTGAACGAAAGTCTTACAACACTGAATATCATCAAACATTGTCTCATAAATGTTGTTAACATATCTTGTTGCTAGCTCTATATTTTATATTTTGTACATAATGCTGAGTTTGCTTTTACATAAATACATTTTATCAGAAATCAAATGTTTTACGATAAATATCTTATTGTTTAAACGCGTAATAACATAATATGATAACATAAATGTGAAATGACGCATAAGTTTGAGGAAAAAATGAAAATCAAGAAATTTTGTTGCCTTTTAACATGTCATGTCGTATATTATTTCATCTTTGAGATCAATAATGAATTAATTAAAAATAAAATAGAATTATTAAAATATTCATTAGAAATAACAAATTATTAATTGCTTATGTATTTGTATGAGTTTTAATAAAATATAAAAAAAATCTAAAAAAAGAATAAGATTTTTTATCGCATTTAAAAATTTGTTTGATGTAATTCTTGCTTTACAGGAAATGTCTATCTAAAATTTCGGAGAATCGGCGAGAGAGCTTTGCTGACGAAAGGGATGAGGAGGGCATTATGTAAGCGTTAACATTGATAAGAGCTACGATTGTAATTTCGTACGTGTGGAACAGAGCTGTCACGATGTGTAACATGCAGTTTTTCTTAGCGCATAAGTTATACAACGAGCTCACGTGGAGAGATCATATGTATAGGAGCAAATGTCATTCGCGAAGTGCTCGCTGCATGCGATTAAATAGAAGATCTTATCATCGCGGTTGTCAGTTCGTGATATGACTTGCGCGAGAACACTTGCTGTCGATTGCTGTTTGAACGTGCGCAATACGGAATTTCTTGACAAGCAAGCTTCTTGAAATACCTCTCGTGATATGATTACATTTTAAGTCTAATATAAGTATTATCTGTTAAATGTTTACAGGCAGGCGGAGTATGGAGAATGCACGCACAAGCGAACGCTCTCTCGAATTGTTTCTTGTTGACTTTTGCGAGTTTATACATTACGTTATATTGCGTTTTGAAACGTGAAACATACATTCTTTATATACACTTCATTATAAATTTCTTATCTTACTAAATATATTTTTTTATCGCACTTATCTCAACTCTCTGCTTTTTAATTGCCTAAAGTTGGATAATTATTACTTAACCGTCCCGCCATGACGTTCTCCGTCGTTACGTAATGTCTGAAGTGTAAAGATAGGTCGATCCGTATGAAGGTAGGATGGTGTGTTGTAATCTGTTGTTTCCGACTGCAAGGCGAAAAAAGGTTCGGTACGGCGGATTCCAGTTCTCTCTGCGGCAATCTATTACGACATACCAAATACAGCAGAAGGCTAAATGCGTATACAGAAAAAAAAACGAGTCGGTGGAGAAGAAAAAAATAAGTTGCGTGTCACTGTGACCCAGTTTCCATTTGCGTTTTCCGAATCGACTTTTTATCGTTGAATATCGGAAAACGCCGAGTGTATGTTTGACCTTTTCTTCAAAATGTACAGCATTATATATTACGTACGGTAAAACGGGTAAACAACTGCGAGTATCATATTTAAAAAAATTATTTTATTTATATCGACATAAAAATATTTTTAAAGTACTGATGTAACATTTACATTACAAGCAAACATATTAAAACAAACAAAAGAATATTAAAAATATAAGATAAATCGGCCAAGGACGAGCGAAGATAAAAGTAACATGGAATCACATAAAAAATTCAATAAAAAACTCAAATAAATAGTTTAATGTCGAGAAGTTAAAATCAATACGTTTCGACTCACTGAGCCTTCTTCAGTTAAAGATATAAAAAAAAATCAATAAGTAAAATGCAGATAAAGAATAAATATGTAAAAATCGGACATAATAAATTAATATTGAGACGTTAAAGTTAACTAATATAAAAAGAATATATCCTAAAACAATGGATCCTGTAAGAATATGTCGATTCCAACTACCGCTGTAGTAGTACAAGAATTAAAACGCATGCATACTAACGGGGCACGCTGTAGTTTCCTTATGTCGAACATCTTTTCCCTTTTTTTCCCCTTTATGTGAAATTGAATCAATTGTCATTTGTGTCGCTGCTCTGGAAAGTCTTCTTCTTTAAAGAAGCCTTCTCATCTCTGCGTCGTTTTCAAAATGTTATAATTGTGCAGATGCAACGCGGATCCATTATCTCCTAATAGCTAGTTAATATGTATCGGTATAATTACGGTTATAATGTAATATATTATAGTGTTCTGTAACTTATAAGAATTTTCGGTGATAATTCGACAGTGTGGCTGTTTCGGATGTGGAACAACGGTAATACGAATGACATAAGTCTATCTATCGTTGTGCGAGACGACTGTGCTACCGTATTGAAAACCTCGCGTGTATGATATTCGAGTTTTTTTTCTCCTTTTCCCGTAGGGTGATCGGTACAAAATTGTTTATAAAATGTGTGTTTACATATCTATTAGTTCGTCCAGTATCGCAAAATAAGAATTGTCAATCATGTCCAAGTCCTTGATAGAATTTAATCCATGCTTTTGTTCTTTAATATGCAGCATTTCTGAGATGAGTCTTTTATAATAGTTATATTCTGTGTCGAGCACTTTTATGTGCACAATTTATTCTAATTAAAGGAGTGTCCAGATTCTAAAATGTGTTCTGTAATTACTGAATATTTTGTCGGATCTAATTTAATATCATTTTTATGTTCTTTGAGTCTAGTACCAAGCTGTCTTTTGGTTTGTCCCATATAGGATGCTTCACAGTCGTTACAAACAAATTTATAAAACACGTTATTGTTTTTCATGGTCAAATTCTTATCTTTGTGAGCCTTGACGAACATATCAGTCTTATTGAGTACTCTATATCCTATTATATATTCATTTTTATCAATGATCGATGTTACAATTTCCGAGATGTTTTCAATGTACGGAAATATTAAGAATTTTCTCCTATCACTCCTTTATTGTGATGCTGTGTTCGCCGGTTTCTTTTACTGTACTGGATTTTAATCTAATGTCTATTAGTGTTTTTAATCTAATATTCATCTTATTGGAAATCAAATCCATTCTCTAACAGAAGAGATACGCACAGTTCTAAATTTTTTTGATGGAACATAGGATGTGAAAGTAAGAAAGCTCTGTCCATTAGGTTAAAAATAATGCCTATTTTGTGGCACAATGGATGTTTCGAATGATAAGAGAGAAGTCTTCCCGAAAATGTCTTTTTTTTTTTAAACCAATCTATGTGGATGGTATTGTAATAATAATAATATTTAATATAATAATATTTAATATAATAATATTTATATTTAATAATATTTAATAATATTAATATTTATATAATAATATTTAATAATCAATAATATTTAAAGATATATCTAAGAAACTTATACATTGGTTGTTTTCGTATTCTATAGTGAATTTTAATCGGTCGTGGTATCCATTGAAAGAATTTAAAATTGTTTCTATGTCGTCTGTCGGTGCCGCTAATAAAATGTCGTCTACGTATCTGTATTAAAACAACGGTTTTTTTACTAACGATGTTAAAATATTTTGTTCCAAATCACGCATTACCATCTCTGCGGCAACCGAAGACACAGGGGATATCTATATAAGGGGACTATAGAATGCGAAAACAGTATAAGTTTCTGTATAAGTTTCTTAGATATATCTTTAAATATTATTGACAATACCATCCACATAGATTGGTTTCAAAAAAAGACATTCTCGGGAAAACTTCTCTCTTATCACTCGAAACATCCATTGTGCCACAAAATAGGTACTACTTGTAACTTAATGGACAGAGCTTTCTTACTTTCACATCCTATGTTCCAGCAAAAAAATTTAGAACTGTGCGTATCTCTTCTGTTAGAGAATGGATTTGATTTTCAATAAGATGAATATTAGATTAAAAACACTAGTAGACATTAGATTAAAATCCAGTACAGTAAAAGAAACCGGCGAACACAGCACCACAATGGAGGAAACGAGTGATAGGAGAAAATTCTTAATACTTCCGTACATTGAAAACATCTCGGAAATTGTAACATCGATCATTGATAAAAATGAATATATAATAGGATATAGAGTACTCAATAAGACTGATATGTTCGTCAAGGCTCACAAAGATAAGAATTTGACTATGAAAAACAATAATGTGTTTTATAAATTTGTTTGTAACGATTGTGAAGCATTCTATATGGGACAAACCAAAAGACAGCTTGATACTAGACTCAAAGAACATAAAAATGATATTAAATTAGATCCGATAAAATATTCAGTAATTACAGAACACATTTTAGAATTTGGACTCCTTTAATTGGAATAACATAAAAGTGCTCGATACAGAATATAACTATTATAAAAGACTCATCTCAGAAATGCTGCATATTAAAGAACAAAAGCATGGATTAAATTCTATCAAGAACTTGATTGACAATTCTTATTTTGCGATACTGGACGAACGAATAGATATGTAAACACACATTTTATAAACAATTTTGTACCGATCACCCTACCGGAAGAGGAGAAAAAAACTCGAATATCATACACGCGAGGTTTTCGATACGGTAGCACAGTCGTCTCGCACAACCCGATAGATAGACTTATGTCATTCGTATTACCATTGTTCCACAACCGAAACAGCCACACTGTCGAATTATCACCGAAAATTCTTATAAGTTACAGAACACTATAATATATTACATTATAACCGTAATTATAACGATACATATTAACTATTAGGAGATAATGGATCCGCGTAGCATCTGCACAATTATAACGTTTTGAAAACGACGCAGAGACGAGAAGGCTTCTTTAAAGAAGACTTTCCAGAGCAACGACACAAATGACAATTGATTCAATTTCACATAAAGGGGAAAAAAGGGGAAAAGATGTTCGACATAAGGAAACTACAGCATGCCCCGTTAGTATGTATGCGTTTTAATTCTCGTACTACTACAGTGGTAGTTGGAATCGACATATTCTTACAGGATCCATTGTTTTAGGTTTTGATATATTCTTTTTATATTAGTTAACTTTAACGTCTCAATATTAATTTATTATGTCCGATTTTTACATATTTATTCTTTATCTGCATTTTACTTATTGACTTTTTTTATATCTTCGATTGAAGAAGGCTCAGTGAGTCGAAACGTATTGATTTTAACTTCACGACATTAAACTATTTATTATTAATTGGAGTTTTTTAATAATTCCATGTTACTTTTACCTTCGCTCGTCTTTAGCCGATTTATCTTATATTTTTGTTATTAAAACACAAGCTAGACATTATAATCAAAAGAATATTATTGTTTTTAAATGTTTTAAATATGTTATTTTCTTCTTGTTTCTACTTGTTTCATCATTTTCATTATTATAAGAATTTTTGCAAAAATAAATACATTATATTATAATTGTTTTTTATACGGGAAATTGATTTTCTAGTTTTGTCAAAATATGCTATTAAATTATAATATATAAATAATCAACATTGATAATTAATTCATTTAATAATTATATAATAATGTTATTAATGTCTTCATTTTCTTCAATTATTAATAATTGTGGATAACAATATTGATATTACATACGAACATTTAAAGCCATCTAATAGTTAATAAAGCGAATAGGAAATGATAACATCTACAAGATAATTAAATTATAATGATTATTATGTTGTGAATAAGCACTGAAATTACGTAAATTATATTATAAAATATAATAGCCTATCATTATGGACAATTATTATTATTATTATTATTATTATTGTTCTTAAAAAAATAAATAATTCTAATATGTATAGAATAATTTTTATAATATATATATATTTCTTTATCGTAATAACTATTATACATTTTTTATACTTAGTTGTATGTTTTTTATATTATCTTCTTCTTTATTAATTTGCTTGTACTGTGTTACATACGTTTTACATTTATATAGGTATATACAAAATTTAATATAATTTAAATTATAATTATTTACAATTATATGAAAGTGCTGGTGCTTACTGAGCTATAAAAATATGATTTACTTTTTACCAGGCTCTCATCCTATCAAAGTCTCTAAGTAATTATCAATGCAAGTCAGGACAATTTACTCGG